CCTCTCCTATATACCAGTGTACCCCATTTCCAGTAATTACTAGACCATTCGCCAAGATACGGGATAGTTCTAGAAAAGAGAGCGTGAGAATTGTCACGTGATCTCGATGACGCAACAATATATATAATCATATATATATCATATGATATATCATATCATATATATGATATGATATATATATACATACATTTTCAAGTACTTGTAGAATACTTTTCAGTCTTTTTATTTAAAACTCGTTTTTTAACTCGTAAGGATAAAAATTAGTGTACTTACAGAATAAAACTTTTAGCAGTTAAGAAATTTCAGTGAGGTATTATTGGTCAGACTTTTTTGTCGGATACATATGGTTAGAGCAACTGTTAAATGGTCCGTTTGTGAGATATAAAATTAACACTTTTTGTTGAGTTTGTGTAGAGAGATAAAATATTTTACTATGGTTAAAAAAATAGATTTTAAGATTAAAATGATATACGTAAACCATAGCTTTAATGACCATTTGAGCTGCTTTTTACACCAATTATAAAAGAAGACTTTATTTCTTTTACAGACTTTTGTTAAACAAATGGAACTATCTTTCGTGGTCTCCCTTATTATCAACTCTATTCCAGTCGTCTTTGTCTTTTTATCCAAATATGAAATGCTTCGATCAAAGGAGACTCAACTCTACTTTAATATGATTAAGTAAATTGTATTTTATTACTTTCAAAAAGAGTTTGTATTGAATAAGAACATTTGAAGTTGTAATGTACTGAAGTACAAATTATCAATAACTTCTGATCAAAGTTAGCTAACTACACAGCTGATCGAACCTCATGAGATATTATTGGAATTATGCTAAAAAACAACCCCACTGATGGATCAACATATTCTGATGATTACATGTTTCCGTTTTATGATATTGCACACCTTACATTATTTACTAAGTTCATCTATAGTTTTGATATTGAGAGATTTAACTTATTCTTAAACCTGAATACTAAGTTGATGATGCTAAAATCAGGGGTTCAGTTCCCCTCGGTAGGCACAGCAGATAACTTGAAATGGCTTTGCTATGAAAAATACATACACACAGTGTAGATATAAATGTGGTTACTATTATGTTTTAAGAAATGTAAATAATACTAAGAAATTTTATTTAGTTATTTGCAACAATCTGAAAAGCATAAAACAAATAGCATAAGTTAAAAGGGATATTTGAAAGGAGAGAGTTGTTTGATTAATATTTCACTACTGCTTATCAAGTTCTCAGAAAGATAAACCTTTAAATTTATATATAAATGTATTTTTTTCTTTTGAAACAATCTAACAAAAAAGAAGATTATAATGTAAAAAATAGTATTCAGAAATTAAAATCAATAATATTAATTAATTTTGATATAGAAATAGGATTCAAAAATCATGATAAAGATGAGAATTTTTTACAGTGTATTTTGCCTATGCCTGTATTCATCTTTTACCAATACATTGGTAAGAAAAATTGGTGCCGCCCCAGTAGCACAGCGGTATGTCTGTAGACTTACAATGCTAGAAACTAGGGTTTCAATACCTGTGGTGGGCAGAGCACAGATAGCCAATTGTGTAGCTTTGTGCATAACTACAAACAAACAAAAATTGGTCTTCTTGAAAGTCATGTGAATATCTTTAAGTAACAGATTCTTAACATATATATATATAATATTCTGATATTTGTCTGGATATTTTTTAATCAGGAAATTGTAGAAAAGGGAAATTCCTAGTCTTTTGTTATTTTTACTTCTTGTATTCCGTAATATTTGTGCACATATAAAGTATTTCACACACACATACAAATTTTGTTTTCAGGTATATATACATATATTCAGAGTTGACATGAATTTGAACTGAATTAACATAATTATTTGAAACTCACACATGCTTTTATGACTTGCAAGTTTTAGTGCTGTTGTTTTAACTGATGCATGGTTTTATTTTGTTATTCTTTAGCCAACCACTTTAAGTAAAGCTGTTATGAATAGTTTGCATGTAAAAAAAATGTATACCTTTTTTTTTCCTTCTGAAATTTATTTAGGATTGTTTTTGTGAAAGCTGTCATACTTGCTATTCTGGTGTTTTTTTGGCTTTTTGCTGATTTGGAAATGTTGAATTTGGAAAATCCACTCAATATTACCAAGAATGCATCTATAGTAAGTTATATATGCTCAGATTTTTATTTTAAACCACTTGTAAGATTAAGCGTATGAATAATTAAAATATAGATATATAATATTTTCAATTAAATTTTTACACCACTCTCACTGTTCTTTACTACGAAATTTCTGTAGCATTGCCTTTATAAACAACAATTTCGGTAAATACTATATTTTTTAGTTAAATTTGTTATTTGACCCATGAATTGGGATAATTTTAATTAGAAAGTTAAAAGCCTCTGAAGATGTAACTAGTTGTTTGGGCTTAGAATAATGAAATATTTTAAACCTTGCATGGTTAGTGAATATCAAAGGAATCTTGTAATTTATATTAAAAAAAAACAACTGTTTCTAAGGTAATTTGATTTTTATCAATCAATATTCTTTGACTTGTAAGAACAATTGCGCTGTTTTTTTTGTTTTTTTTTTGAACATAAACTCTTTTGAAATAATTTCTTTTGGCTCAATATTTACGTATTTTTGATAAACTTTATGATAATATTAGTAATTTCAAATATTTTATGATGTTGTCTGGAACATCTACAATTATTATATTGATGTTTCAACTTTTATATGAATAGTGTTGGGAAACAGAACTTGGCCAAGAACTTTACCGACTTCAAGTGGTGGACTTAGTCTTTGTGTTATTGATCAGTACTTTTCTGGGCGAGTTTGTGAGAAAAATAGTTCACAAGTTCTGCTGCTCAAGTATCTCAAGCCCAGAGTTTAATATTGCCAACAATATATTAGACCTGATATATACACAAACACTGGCATGGTATGTTATTATCTCGTTATTTTTCTTATATGACCTCAAAGTTATTTCAGAATACCTGATTAATATATAATTATTTTCATGAGATATCTGTGGTTATTTTAATATTTATCATGATGTTTTTTGCACTTACATATATATACATTCATAGTTCTTGAATAACTAAACTACTGACTTTTTTGTTTATAGGTTGGGTGCTTTTTACAGTCCTTTGTTATCAGTTGTTGTAATCATAAAACTGGTCATTATCTTCTATGCAAAGCGTTTTAGCGTAATGTCTAACTGTGAGCCGTCTCTCAAGCCTTGGCGAGCTGCTCATGGAACCACAGTTTTCCTTACATTGATTCTCATTCATTCGTTATTGACAGTTGCAGCATTTGGATGTAGCATCTTTTTGTAAGTGATTCTTTTTCCCGTGCTTGTTAACCAAAATACAAATGTTTCAGGTTGTAACGTAGAACAGTTTGTAATTACTTTTTGTTGAAGACTTAATGTCGTATTTAGTTAAATTACACAGTATTGAAAACTGTGAAAGTTTTTTTTATCAACATGAAACATTATACTGACACCTAGAGGACAAATAAACGATATGAAGAATTCTTTTTGTTGTGAGAATTATTTAATGTAATTATTAACAAACATATAAGAGTAAATTAAAATGTTACATTACTAAATATAACTGAAGTTACATAGGTCAGAACTACAAATTAATCCAGTAATGAATATAAATAACTTAATATAGTGTTCTTACTTTCTTATTATGATTAGAAAATTACTTCATTAGTTGGGCACCATTGCTGTTAATTATATTTTCAATCTTAATCCCAACCTATTCAAGAAAGCACTTTGGGCTGCAAGAGTAGTTAGTTGTTTTCTGTGTAAACGCACAATTTTTCGAATTTAATATGTCTTCTATACATATAACACTTTCAATCAAGGTTTCCCTTATGTAAATAGAGTTGTGTTCAAACTTTCACCTATTGCTTTAGTCAAAAAAACCTTTGATATCTTCAAACATGCCCTTACACTAACAGAGAGCAAGTTAAATATGGAAAGAAAATCAAATCGGAAAGAATTCTTCAAATTAGGACATAAAAGTTTTTACTGGGTGAAAGTAAAATAAGATGTTTTTTGTGTGTAAGACTGATTTATATATATATAAATAATACCTCGTTAGAAATGAGTTAGGTTTAAATATATTTCTGTCACCAGGTGGTTCAGCAGTATGTATATGGGTTTATAACACTAAAACCAGGTTTCAGTACCAGTGGTTGGCAGAGCACAAAAATACATTTAAACCTATTGTTGGGAGAAGCAAGACTCACTTTTAATATAGTTAGGCTTAAACCTATCATCTAATATATATATATATATATATATATATAGTGTGTGTGTGT